AAAAAAAAAGACTAGCAAAACTGTTTCTCCTTTTGCCTTTCATAATGATTTTTTTTTTTTTTTTGGTTTGTTTGTTTTGGTCTTTCTTCCTTTCCTTTTTTGTTTTTTCAGTACTGGCAATCAAACTCAGGAAGTACTGAGCTTTTTATTGTTTTATTCTGAGATAGGGTCTTGCTAACTTGCCCGGGTTGGCCTCAAAAGCTGTGGTCCTCCTCCTCCAGTGAGATTACAGGTATATGCCAATATATCAGTTTGGTCCTTTTTTTATAATAAACTTTTATACTGTATCAATTCACCATAATATAGTTTTTTCTTTAATACTATATTCCAGAAAGTTTCAAAACAGTAAACATATATTTTCCTTATTCTCTGAAATATCTTTGACTAGTTATATTTTTGTTTTTTGGTGGTACCAGGATATGAGTTCAGGGCCTACACAATTAATTACATCTCTAGTCCTTTTTTTGGGCAGGATCTCACTAAGTCATTAAATCACCCAAGCTGGGCTCAAACTCATGCTTCTTCTACCTCAGCCTTTCACAGGGGTGTTACTGTGACCAGCTAAGCAGTTTTACCTTTATTTTTTTTATTTTTTTTTTTTTTAAATTTATTTATTTATTTATTTTGTGTGTGTGTGGCCAGCTCAGCCCACCAGGGGGCGGGGCTGGCTGGCATGTGGTGCTGGGGGATTGAACCGCCGTCCCTGTGCTTTGCTTGGCTTAGCTTGTTCTAAGTAGGTGCTTTAGACCACTGAGCCATCTCACCAGCCCAGTTTTACCTTAAAAAAAAAAAAAAAAAAATTATTTATCTACTTATTTGGTACAGTGTCTCGCTATGCAGCTGGGGCTTGTAGTGATCCTCCTGTCTCAGCCTCCCTGGTGCTGTACTTTACAGGGATTACAGGTGTGTGCCACTATGCCTGATTTCAGTGGCCAGTACAGCATGCTCACGGTTCTGGGGCCAGCCCAGCATGCAGTACCTAGGATTGAACTCAAGTCCTTGCACTTGCCAGGCAGGTGCCTTGACCATCAAGCTATCTCCCTCTCCCCAGTTATAATTTATTTATTTATTTTTTTGCAGAAGCGGGGATTGAACTTAGGTCCTTGCGCTTGCCAGGGAAGCACTTAATCCACTGAGTCATCTCCCGGCCCCAGTAGTTATAATTTAAGCAGTACTAAACTTAATAAATTTTGGATTAATTTTCTCCTATTCATTTCACTCACACAACTGCTACTACAGCTTATATGTAATTTTAACATACATTAAGAAAATCTCTGAGGGCCAGCAAAATAGCTCGGTGGACTAAGTGCCTGTTTACTCAAGTGCAGAGACTGGGGTTTGATCCCCCACACCACATGCTGTGCCAGTCTCGTCCCGGGAGCGCTGAGCCAGCAATTGATACCAGCCCTGGCGTGGTGGTGAAAGACTATAATCCCAGCACTGGGGAAGCTGAAAATAGCAGGATCACTAAGAGTGCAGAAAAAAAAAAAAAAAAAGAAAATCTATGAAATAAGATTGGAGTTTTACAGGCAAAACAAAGAAGGCATGACTGCTACAGGAAAAATTGGACGTTCACATAGGAAAGCATGTAATATTCATAGTAAATCAGTTTTAAAAAATTATTTAAAGGGCTAAGGAGATGGCTCAATAGAATAAGCACTTCCCTGGCAAGTGCAAGGGTCTGAGTTCAATCCCCAGTTCTGCAAAAAATAAATAAATAAATAAAATAAAAAAAATACAGAATCTACCCAAGAAATCTCAAAGCCACTTTCCCTGCCTCACTGCTAAGTGAGCTAAAAGCTTCTGAATTTCTTTTTTTTTTAATGTGTTTTTTTTAAAATTTTATTTATTTATTTATGTGTGTGTGTGTGTGTGTGTGTGTGTGGCCAGCTCAGCCCACCAGGGGGCAGGGCTGGCTGGCATGTGCTGCTGGGGGATTGAACCGTGGTCCCTGTGCTTTGCTGAGCTTGTTCTAAGTAGGTGCTTTAGACCACTGAGCCATCTCACCAGCCCCGCTTCTGAATTTCTGAATTAGAATTCATGTTACTAAAATGAAGGAAGCATGCTTCTTCAGCACAAATCTGGACTTACTTTTGTCCTTTTGGAAACAGGAATAGAACTCAACCTTGAGCTTGCCAGGCAGGAACTGTGTTACTAAGCTACATCTGTGGCCCTGGGTTCATTAAAATAGCAAAAATGAGCTTTCCCCAAATATGAAGTTATTTGCTAATGACTCTAAACAAGAAACAGAATAGCAACCATAGAGTGGAAACAGCACTTCTCAAGAGTCTTCTCTAGGCTGCTGTGCCCACTTTTTTGTTTTGTTTTGTTTGAGGCAGAGTCTCACTGTGTAGCTCAGGCTGGCCTCAAACTCATGGCTATCCTTCTACCTCAGCCTCCTGAGTGCTGGGATTACAGTGTGCCACCACACCTGGCTGCTTGTGCTCTTTCTATACAAGCAGACTGGATTAAAGAGAGGGGAGTCTGAGCAAATCCCTTACAGTACCAGAACTTTTACACAATACTCTCTAATGGTTAGGTCCACAGAAATGATGTGGACCCTTATCTTCTCCAGTACACCATCTGGATCATGAAAGAATGTTTGTCAGGTATCAATCACCACCTAAGTGGCCTATCAACCACTCAAAGGCAGGGCATATACTTACATCAGCAACAGCAATGGACTGTACATCAGCATTTGCGATGAGATGGCTCTTGACAAGTGTCCCCGTAGCAGAATCCCAGAACTGGACTTTCCCCGCAGAGTCCACGCTTATGACAGTGCCGTCAGATAAAAAGGCCACACCCCACACAATACACTTCCGCTTAGACACACCCATGTATTGCCTGTCTACAATCATCTTATGAATAGCACTGCCTGAAAAATAAGAAAAGCACACATGTGGATAGAACTTGTTTCTCCTTTAATTTACAAAATATCTGTGGTAGGTATAATATGGTTAAATTAGTTGCCCCAATACAGCTAGTCAGTAAAAAATAGCTGTACTAAAATCCATTTTTTTTCTCAACGAAATGCCACTGTAGTGAATCCAGTTTCAAAAGTCCAAAGTTGTTACTTGAGAAGAGGGGAGAGTAAGGGAGGAAAAGGGCAGGAGCAAAAAATGTCCCTTCAGAGAAGTGAAATGGAAAGAGACAAGTGGACACTAACCTAGTGCTGGCCTACTGCATATACTCTTTCCTCTGCACTTTTCTAAAACTCAATGCATGGGAAGGGAGAGAAGGCAACAGTGACAAAATTCCAGGAACTGAAAAGCAAAGAGAGTGGTGACTGACTTAGAAGAGCCCTAAAACACCCAAATCAGCCAGGGGAAACACCAAGAAGCTGCCTAATTCATAACATAGGTAAATGGGGCAGGGGGTGGCTCGAGAGGAACTGGCTGAAAACTTAATGTACTGGACTCTTGAGATACTCATTCCTTAACTGAAAGGCCAAGCAACTTCCCAAACTACATCTGAAATAGAAGATTGAAGACCTACTCTCTAAAGGGATACTGGGCACAGATTAGAGGAAGCACTTAAAAAACTGGGATAAATGAAAACTTCTAACTGAATATTGAGAACACCAGTTTTCTTCTTCATAGAATGTTGCCAGCAGGCTGGAGAAAGAAAACCTTTTGGGAGGGCTTGGGGTGTTGCTTACTAGTACAGTGTGTGCTCAGCCCATAGCTGAGCCTCAGCACCATAAACAAAACATCTGGGGATATGACTGGCCTAAGAGAACTAAGCATCCTGATTTCAAAAGCTGCCAAACTGCTCAGCACAGGTTCAATTTCTGGCACCACATGGCGGCCTTGTTACCCACCATGTCAGCCACCAAAACCAGGTATGGTGGCACACACCTATAATCCCAGCACTGGGGAGGCTGAGACAGGAGGATCACTACAAGTCCAAGCTGCATAATAAGACCTTGTACCAAATAAATAAATAACTTAAAAAGGAAAAAAAAACAAAACTTGGGATGAGGACACAGCTCAGTCATAGAGTGTCTAGCATACATAAGACCCAGGGTTTAATACCTAAAACAACAAAACAAAACAACAACAAAAATCTCTCTCTGGAAATGGCAAAATGAAAATTCACTTATGAAATTAAAATATAAGGCTCTTTCCCATCTCGCAAGATGGCGGGTGAAAAAACTGAGAAGCCAGACACTAAAGAGAAGAAACCCAAAGTCCAGACGGCTTCTGCCAGTGGTACTGGAAAAAAGATAAGGTGAAGAAGGCAAAAAAATCCAAGAAGGTGCAGCCCCACTGCAGCCGAAATCCTGTCCTGGTTAGAAGAATTGGTAGATACTCCCGATCTGCCATCTATTCCAGAAAGGCTTTGTACAAGAGAAAGTACCCAGCTGCTAAGTCAAAGGTTGAGAAGAAAAAGGAGTAAGTTTTTGCTACGATCATAAAACCGGTCGGTGGGGACAAGAATGGAGGTAGCCCGGTGGTGAAGCTTCGAAAAATGCCTAGATACTACCCTACTGAAGATGTGCCCCGAAAGCTCTTGCGCCATGGCAAGAAACACTTCAGCCAGCATGTGAGGAAACTTCGAGCTAGCATCCTTCCTGGCTCCGTCTTGATCATCCTCACTGGGCGTCACAGAGGCAAGA